TTTCCAGTGGGTTATGGTCGTATGTGCTTGTTGCTCTCCAACCTATGGTTTATGAATACCTTTCTGTTGATGCTTCCCGTGCCGAATGCGATATGTGCTTCTTGTGTTCTTCTCATGTCGATTTTGTAGTGTACTGTTCTTATGACTTTCCCACATCCAAATCATAAGATGCTATTTCGAAGGTGCTCCCCGTGACCAAAGTCCGAATGTTTTTTTTGTAGCCGGAGCTTGAAGTAGAACCCGAACAAACTCCAAAGCAGGTTTCAGAGTGAGGTACATAGCTGCTGGCTCAGAACTGAGTCGAGGGGAGTGGAGGGCAGTGCTGAATCGCACATGCATCATCGGCCATCGTGGGAAGTACGCTACGGGATGCCGAGGTGTCAAGGTGATGAGCCGCCCCCGGCCGTCATCGTTGTCGTTTAAAAAGCAAAGAAAAGAGGGAGCAACAAAAGTTGTGTTGTGTTGTCCAGTGACTGAGGGGGTATGTAGTAGAGGTAGTCAGTTAAGTGGGGGTTCTGACCCATAAGCGATGCATTGATATTGAACTGGGCAACCAATCGTAATCAAGAGTTTTGGTATTTTATTTATTATCGACAATGCTCGTGATGCGAGATGGCTGCGTGGAAGGGACGCAAGGCCCATTTGCTACATACCTACTTTACATACGTAGGCAAGGCAAGGCAAGCATGTTTGTATGTACAAGAGGTAGAGGTACCTGGCTGCCTATCCGTGCAGTCTTGTAGACATAGGTTTTAAGCCAGGTACTACATGGGCAGGCATGATATCCACACCAATAAGAGGCGTTGCTATACCTCAAAAAGTCGATCGAGGACTAGATAAAATGAGATGATCGCATCACTTTTCACTTGTCCGCGTCTTTTCCTTTCTGTTGCCCCCTCTCTTCTGCCCCCCATGTCAGCAAGGAATGCGTGCGTGTGCCCCCCAACAACGGTACGGATGTCTTCCGAAAGGACAAAGTAAGGTTGCAGTCAAGCAATTGTCAGCCGTCGGGAGGTCGGGGGCGGGTCGGGGTTGGGGTACTCTATCGACGTTTGTCAAAGGGGGGGAGGAGAGGGGCCTACCAAATTCTAAAGGTCCAGGGGGTGTGCATCGCATCGTATTGCATCGCATCGCACTTGCATTGCGAGTATCGCATGTATCGAAATGTTTGTCCTTCTGATGTGGGTAATAGTAAGTACGATACACGAATCCGAGCTGTAACGTATTGTCGTATTCAAGATTACGGCGCCCATGGACCATGGTTCCTGACTGACCTAAATCGTGTTAGGCGGTAGTTCGTCATCGCACCCTCGTCGTCTACCGACCTGTTTTACCTGCCCACCAACTCCCCTGAGGGAGGGAGAGACCAGATGCAGAGGAAGATATGTAGGAAGTAATTGTAGGACCATCTAGAAGCATCGTTTGAAGCTTCCAGACACGCGAGTGATAGATAATGAGCAGAGGCAGTGGGACATGATCTGATGTCTCAGCTTCCCTCTCTAGCTGCATGTCTTACCCGAGACAAGCAGGCAAGATTGTCTTGTCATGTCTGGGATATAAATTCACTCAAGGTATGTATGGGGAGAGAACAAGGGAGCATGTAAGCGGATTTAGAGCTTGGTGGGAAAAAGTCGTACAATACAAAGCGCCTGGTCGAACGATGGACGAGGGCCTGGACCATCTTTGCATTGCCTTTATTCCACACCAAGATCCGGTAGGAGTTGGCACAACTGAATTCCAGTAGTAACTTCCAAGGGAGCTGGAGCTGAAGACTGGAGGTTCACCTTGTGATAGCGTCAAGGGTTTGGTCGTATGTAGCTCGATTCGGCCGGTTTCCCAGGTAGAGTGTTCTGAATCATTCGCTGAGCACACCTCCTCAAGGTAACGTCCACCCGCGGATTTCGAAACGCTAAACACTTGCCAAGATGGCGACATAAAAGTGCCTTTTGAGGAGACAGGATTGGTAAAGTGGATCAAATGCCTGCCCCAGTGTCCGCGTACAGAAGGGGCCACCACCATCCAGCTGTCCGCCTGTCCGTCCGGCTGCAACCTGGCGAGGATCCCGAATCTGATGATCTCGTAGGATATAACTGGGTTTCATGTTGGTGCATAAACTGTGGCGTCAGTCTCTTTCTCTTCCTGCAGTCCACGGTCACTTTCAACGCCATGTATTTCCCTTTGCGCCTCGCACTTTGCGTGGGAGTTGTGTTGATTGCGACCTGTGTGCTGCGCAATGCCGTTTCTGTCTCTGCTGTAGAAAAAGAAAAAAAGAGACACAATAAAGCAAAGGCAGGGTGTCAATGCGGCGTCTGACAACTGCCTATCTCAATGAGAGATCCCGCAAAGAGCGTAGCAAACCAGTTGATGAACAGGGAAAAGAAGCAAAGGTTTCAGCCTCTAGGGCAACTTAAAAAGAGAGAAAATGGAAAAGAAGGGAAGAAAGAAGACAGGTAACCCGTGTCTGGCCAACGGTTTGGATCGATCTTACAGACCGGTCAGCAGGCTGCCTAGCCTTGATAATCCCTGGAATACATCATTTACCCACTGGCAATGTCACCTCAAGGACGTATTCGTCTAAGAGTCTGACCAAAACAGGCAAGCAAGCTAGGAAGTTGACTTCATCTGGTCGCATTTGTATTGATGGCCTCCTTTTTTTCTGGCTCACAATGGCGCAGTCATTCCTAGTTATGTTGCCGTGCCGCGGGACTAGTGGTGTATTAAAGCTGATAGCCGAGTGCGAGTGTTGAGACACCAACGAAAGACAGCTCGACGATCTTGTTTGCTTTGTGACGGGATTATTGTTTCTGCACGACGGCTGCAACATTGCAACATCGACTTGCTGCCATGTGCAGGGTGAAGGGGTGCTGGCACATCGGTGAGTTTTATCACTTCCCGCGCTCCTTCCTGCAAGTGCGATCTTCCTGTTTCCGAGAGCTGCCACGCTTGTCTCGCTTCTGAGATACAGAAATGTACCGCTTGACCTGTACCCTCTGCATATGAGATAAATGTCTCATCTTCAAACGGACAGAAGTATAAGATGATGCTGACAAATGATATTGTCTTTCAGTTAAATCCCAGGAGGGCGACAAAGCGATAAGGAGTGTACTGAAGATGGGCACTTACATGATAGTCACTACTACGTAGAAACGTAGGTGAGATCGGTTGCATAGGAGTTGTTCAAGCGCCGTTAGTGAACGACCGGTCAAGAGATCTTGTATGATAGAATCGCAACATTTGAATTCCTATTCGCTGAATGCGAGGTACTGCTGACAGACATCTTGCCTTGCAGCTTGACCGAGACAGTGACGAGGACAAACATTTGGCATATAAACTGCAGCGGTCCCGTGTGTGTGAGGCTGATAGGTAAGTGGAGGGAAATATTAAAAAGAAAAGGGGATGCTCGGTTTATCGCCCTTTTGGGATGTTGAGTTATCGTTTTGTGCCCTTGTTTCGAGCATAGAGGCAGTGATCG